GCGCTCGTGGAGAACATTTTCGGTAGATTTTGAAGTTTCAGTAGCCACACGATGGCATAAATCTTAAAAAAATTGGAAATATACTTCATTTCCAAGACGGCCTTTTGGCTGCGCTTCAACAATAGAAATAAATTTTTATCGCAAAGTCGAACATTTTTTGATGAAAAAAGTATCCAAGTTTTTAGTGACCATTCGATAGCTCATATCTCGTAGGATTCTCAAATATGCTTTATTTCTAAAAGGGATTTTTGGCGCATTGTAACAATCGAAAGAAAATTGGGTTTCGCAACTTTAATTCTCACCTTTCATCAATCCTTTGAAAAAAGCGTTTTTTATTTATTTCAAGCTTCAGAAATTGTCTGATGGCTCTACTCTCAGAAATTTCGCTAATGCATTCAGCTTCAAAACTGCTTTATTAATGCACTGTAGCGGCAGAAATAAAGCTGTTTCCCATTCAAAAATCTTTCGCTGAACAAAGTTTTTCTTTGGACATTCAGTAACCATTCAATGGCTTGAATTCCGTCATTTCCAACTGTGCATCTGCTTTTAACAAAAGACTTCATAATGCGCCGCAGCTGCTAAAATAATGTTGAAATTAGCTTAGAGCAATACTGACAGCAAACCAACGTGCCGTGCCTGTGTGGGCACAGAGATTTCGCAACGTTACCGCTTAGCCACCGCACTCTTTCCGGTGACAATTTTCAAAAACCACTCTTTTTTGATTGTTTCAGCGTACCAAAAAACCCTTTTCATCAAATATGTCTTTGCAATCTACGATATTCAAACTATCAAATGGTTACTAGATGTCCGAAAAAAATTTGTTCAGCGAGAAACGCTACAATAAGAAAAGTGATTTTATTTCTACTGCTGCGGCGCAACAAAAAGGCCATTTGAAGAATACAATATGTTTCCCAATCTTCTATGATTTAAGTGATCAGTTGACTCTTACACTTCAAAAACCAACAATAAATGAGTTATGTTCTAGAATTACATAGACGAAAGCCATTTAATTCCTGCAGAAAACGAAGGGCGAACACGCACGGCTTCGCTTGTTTGATATAGGCAAGAGGCGCTAGAGTATCCACATGCGCGTCCTGAACAGTCCCTTAAATGAATAGTTTCTTCTGTTTAGCCGTTCCGAGGTGTTATTGATGTTATTTATTGAATATCAGCGAAGCATACAACAATACAGTCAGTAATGTAGCATGAATACACAATATTCGAGGTAGCTAACGTTTCGGCGGGTCGCCTTCGTCAGAGCCTGGAAAGATCACATTGATCCACAATTCACTAAGCCAAAAACCTCCATAACCCTAGCAGAAAACGTTAGAGATGTGTTTTGGATCGCATAGTAAAAGCTTTATTCTGAAACACTCACCGTTTTCGATGTTCGGGTCTATCAATTATTAATGAAGACCAGCCGCTCAAGGTCAGTGCATCAGTGGGCTGTGCCTAACTCGGGCCGGAAAAATCAGCCTGAGGTATGGTTCGAGGTCAGGTGTGATTACGAGGCACTCCTCTTTTCGGTTCATTTTCGGGCCTTTGTTATGTATCCAGAAGGCTTCTAATGTTTTACGCGCAGATATTCTTGATTCCTGTGCGAGGATCGTGAATTTGACGCCGAACATTGCTCCTGCATGTTTTTGGTCCCTATGCGTGCCTAGTGGAGTTTTTGAATCACAGTTGCGTAACCCAGCTAGGTGCTCTTTTACACGGAGGAATAGTGGTCTACCCGTTTCGCCAATGTACTCATCGCCGCATATCTCGCAAGAGATTAGGCAAATTATACCCGATCTCATACAGTCGCCGTCTCTGTCGTTCGGACAAACTTTGCAATCATTGGTTTCGCAGAGGCGGTCATACAATCAGTTGCGGATTAATTGACGTTTCAGTGTTTTTGGGGGTATTTCAACTATTGCTACCGAACTATCCAAACCTGCTCTTTTTAGGCATCGTTTAATAGCTGTACTTATTTCGTTAGAGATAAAAGGCAGGTTTAAAGGAACCTTATTTTCGCCAGACTTATCGTTTGGGAGCATAGAGTTTCCTCTAAATCTAACCTGAGAAGCTCCTACCGTATCGTAGCCATTAGAGATGGCTATTTTTCGCGCCAAGCTTAAGGATTCTACCTTGTGTTCTATCCCTGTGCACACATTTGACGCTGTACGGAACATATTCTTGAGAAGTGCGCGTTTTATGTGTGAAGGATGGGCTGATAGGTAGTGAACTAAGATGTTTTTGTTGCTTGGTTTACGGTACCATTTTGTATTGTAGGAGTTTTTGGACAGGTCGACTTGAACGTTCAAAAAAGGGAGCCAATTTGCTTTCGGTTTCTCACGGGTGAACTTTATGTACTCTGACTGACTGTTTAGTAATTCAAAGCATTTGTCCATCTCCTCTTGGGTTGAGCAGGCGGCAAAGCAGTCATCTATGTATCTACAGTAGAGTACCGACCGGAGTTCGATTATTGGGCTCTCAACTTTAGACATAAAGGCTATAGCAAGTGTTGGCGCTAGTCGTTGTCCCATTGCCAGCCCTCTGATTTGAGCAAAATAGTTCCCGGACCATCTAAAGATTGAACAGTTTAGGCACTCTTTTAAGAGAGCCATAACCTGCCCAATGGAGAAGCCATACATGTTTGTGGTCCTTTCGTGCTCTGTTAAAAGCTCGTATATGGCTTGCATTGCGGAATCATTCGACACGTTTGTATAAAGGGCGGTCACGTCGAAAGATTCCATCACGTACGCGTTGTTTGGAGACGCGTTACGTAAATGGTCTAGAAACATTTGGGTGTTTGTGAGATGGGCTGGAATGTGCTTCAGTAATTGGACTAGTATTAGGTTTAAAAACCACGTTATCCTGTCCGTTGGTCCGCCTACGCAGCTGATGATGGGTCTAACTTTGAAATTTGATGGAGTAGTAGACAAAAGATCATCAGTGCATACCAACTTATGAGTTTTAATAAGTAAGTATAAGACGGGACATGATGGTGGACTAAGTTTTAGTTGGGAGATAACGGAAGGTTTTAAAACAGCCGAGCTTGCTATTTTTACCCATTGTTGGTTCAATTTTCGATACTGTTTTTGGAATTCCTTACCAGATGATGGGCGATAAAGTGTGGTGTCTTCAAGGTGGTTTTTTCGTTATCGCAATATCTAACTGATTGGGAATTACTACAGACTCTCCCCCCTTGTCACTAACTGTTAGTCTAATTGCTTTGGAATTTATTAGTTCCCGTATTTGTCGCATACCGCTTTTCTGCGCCGATGTTAGGTTGGAACTAAACATTTTCCCGCGATAGTGGTTAAGGAATCTAAGAGTTTCGTTTGAGAATATGCGAAAATTGACATCTACCTTGTTATTTGGATCTTGCTGCCTAAAGAACGCTCGAGGAAAAGGTGGTGTTGGTATTGCTCCTACGTTTTGCTGTTCCTGCTCGTTGTTTGACTCTAGTCTGGCTTGATAGCGGAGTCGGTCTTGGAGTTCTTGCAAATTGCATGCGATAGTGCACAAGGTTTCCTTAGAAATGGGTTGCGCTGGTGAGAAATTTGGGCCCATTTCTAAGAGAGAGCGCGCATTATCGGGAAGAGACATGCCTCTTAGCACAGTGACCCTTGATTGATCTAGCACATTACTGATGTTAGTTTGACTCTTAGGGCTTTCGTTAACGGTGTTGTGGTGTTTTGTCGATGAAGCTGGTCTACGCGATTTGCTCAAAAGTTTTTCGAATTTTCTGCATAAGGTTACTTTAGCACTTGACCTAATAGAATCGCAGATCAAAAATGACCCACCCTTGATTTTCCTCCAAAGTCCCTTAAATTCCACCCGCTCGAAAGCCGCCTTTTTTTAGTGTGTGGTTTCGTTTTCTTCCTCTCTGCTTTCTTTCTTGCAAACCAAATATCACAACAAGTGTCTCTAAAGTAGCTCACCGTGGAGCCTTTTCCAATTTTCTATGGAAAACTTACACTGAAACGGGTTGAAGTGAATATCGCGCTTCAACTGGGCAGAAAGCGCGCCGTTCGGAATCTGTTAGAACAATGTCTATCGCGATGTTACTCTGCTGGAGCGTCTTCGGAATAAATTGCAGGGGTTTTACAAGAATTGCATTGGTTCTTCCTCTCTGTTATTTTTGGAGTTTGTCTACTCTGAAGCAAATGGATTCTAGACGGAATTGGTAAGTCCTTCTCAGCCAAATCGTCTACGAAGGATCGAACCCTTGAGATATATTGCAGATCTAAAGCCACAAACACTTGGCCAAACATGCCGCTGCAGTATCCTACAAGAGGCTTCCAACATTACAGTTGTCATAACGACTGTTTCCAAGTCTGATGTCGAAGTACTTTTCGTATCTGATCTGTTTCTCGTATGCATTACTCACGAAGAGCTACGAAATTTTCGCTAACGAGTTTGGCTCCTGTTTGAGGATTTTCCTTCGCCACGCTGATATCGAATCCAGTTGGATACCGAAGTACTCAGGCTGGGTTCTGCAGAGACTTCTGTTTGCACTGTTCTCAGATAAGTATGGTAGCAAAATCATGTCTAGAGCAAGATCGCATAAAGAACGTGTCTTTGATAAATGGAATCATTACTGCTACGCTGCCCGCATCCATTTTGCATTAAAATAAGCAGCGTGAAATGGGGTAACGTAGTGACAAAGTCAAGAAAGCAATCATCCAGCGCGAGCTATTGGAAATGTTTACAGTTAAAGCTGAGCTGAAGTGAAAACATTCTATATCATTTATGGTAGTGTAGTTCAATAAATAATAATTGCCGTGCCTAGATAGGGGTGACAGTAATTTCTGCCAGTTGCTACAATTTATGAAAGTGACTAGGAGGTTCTAACCCGTAAAATCAACGGCTGGAAAAAGCATTTGTTAAGTATGCAACTTGTTGCTTACAATGGCTTGTCACGGAATCAAGTGATGGATACAGGCAGTGAAGGGAGAAAGACATAGACAAAACAAATATATATCTAAGAAAATTGAGTGGCGAGCAGAAACAGCCTGAGGCGGAAATCGATTCCGCGTTTCATCCATAATGAGAACGCGTGCTACTACCACTACACCACCGAAGCACATTTGTGCCACCCATATTTTTCAACATTTCTATGTTAGTATGAGTTACCATGACTGTCAACTTAAATAGGTTTATGAAGCGAAATAGCATACTCGAACAAAAGTGTTAAAGGTTGTTGGCTGACAGCTAACATAGAGATGCTGAAGAATGAGTGGTGGAGCAAATGTCTCTCGATGGTGCAGTGATGGTAGCACGCATCCTTGATATGTATGAAATACGGGTTCGATTCCAGCCCAGGGCAGTGTTTTTGCTGACCACTCAATTCTCTCAAGTATATGTGAAGTTATAACACTGCGAAAAATGCAGTAAAATACTAGAACTTTCAAGTGTTAGTTAAAACAACTACAAAAATTCCAATGTTGTTGGATAAAGTTCATAACTTCCAAGTCAGACAAGACAAGAACCCGCATCTACGATTTCCGGAAGCGTTTGCTTATCCAGTTGCATTGCCAACCTCTGTTTTGCTATCACTCTTTCTACGCTACAGCGCATTAGTCTGTCAGCAACCAACCGTCTGGAAGGCCATGTCGTCACAGATACCAGTTATACTGAAGATATAAGATATGTGTGATCAAAAAGAGTTCTTTTTTATTTAACCGCTATTGACACTCAAAATACAATGATCGTCTTAGTTTTGTCTAACTAAGCTCAACATGAGGTTTTATTGTATTATTTATTCAAACAACTAACGTTTCAGCAATTTTCCCTTTTTCGGAGCCTAAAAAGACCACGTTGTACTTAACACAGCCAGCCAGACACTCCATTACTTCATTAGTAAAACACCAAACTCAGATTGTAATCGCATGAGGAGAAAATTAACCTTTATTTTTACTCAACGCATTCAATGAGTCTTTCACTGAATTAGTCACATGGAGATTACCGAACACAATTTGCATGGACTCCTAATGTAACTATCGGAACAAACAACTGTCTCATATGATGCCCATATTACTTGTGATTACGAGGCACACTTCTCTGCAACTAATACTTAGATTAGTGGTATTAATCCGAAACGCTTCTAAAATTTTACTCCTATGTCTCTTGCTTTGCGCAGAGATGGTAACATCCACTTTGAAATATGCTCCGTCATGACCCTGTGTCCTATGAGTGTCAGTCAAGGCATAGCTTATCTATAACGGAGCCCTGTGCTGCTAGTTCCCAATGAATAATTGGGTGGCTTATAGGCCTTAGAACAGTGAGTGATTTTGAGAGAACCTATCTGCTGTGCGGATGAAAATTTGCTCAAGTTTCTCTGCTGGACTGCTGTGAGTATTTGCTTCCAAAGTTCTGGAGCACTTGTAAAAAACTGAGAGTTTATGCATGAATTCCAAACAAAAACAAAAATAGTTAATCTGGAAAATAGGAATCGTCAATTTTTACGACTTTCTGCCACCTCTCCGCCAAGTTTTCGGATTTCTTTGAATAATTATTCCTCCGAATTCGAATCAAAGAGCTCATGACACGCTTCTCTAACTCTATCAAACAATTCAGATAGTATATCCTGAGCGAGGTTTGTCTTCAAGCTTGAGATCTCCGGCACTGAGAAGAGTTGAAACCACCGTTCAGTAGCAGATCTGCTCGTCATGCCTTCCCCATCGACTTCGTTAATTTCATCGATTACAGCTCACCGTGAAAAGCCCTTTGTCCAATAATGATGCAATGAAACACGAAACTTTGATTGTATCGCTGAACATGTCGAAGGCTTGTCACAGTGTGACGAAAAAAAAATAGCCCACATAAGAAACTGTAGTATTTCCGCGATGTGTATGGAAAATATCTCATGCTTATTAAAGTGCACAAGAAGCTTTTTTCTAAATTGGTAGCATCTCTTTAACATTGGAGAAGGTCTTGATGGTACTCTACGTTTACAAATTACCATGTCAACAAACTACTCACTAGTCAAGAATAATGACCTATTCGGGTGCCGACCAATCAGCCTTGTAGTTTCAACTAGGAAGGATTTCACTCTCATACCAGCAAATGCTTTGTAAATTTGAGAACTGCTAGAAATTTAATATTGTTTATTTTGAAACGACTCAGCCGCACATTGTTCTTGAGTTCTGTCATTATCTAAAGAGTTTAACGCGATAAACATTCCTGCCTTCATTCTCTAGGCTGCGATTTCTGAGATAGAGCTTACATTTTGAAGTTGTCAAGAAGTTGTTGTTCACCTCGATGCTGTCTCACTCAATGAAGAAACCAATCATAACCTCTATAGAAGTTTTAGTCGAAATAAAGTAGTTTACAAACAAAAAAGAGTGATGGGTGCATAGACATGTTGAGGAAATGCTCAAAAACATAGCTTCAGGCATATTCCGATACAAAGAAACGACGAAAATTCGAATCGAGTAAGTTCTCGATCATTTTCTCCAATATGCTGCTATATAAATGATTATATCAATAGTTTTTGACTCCCCATTTTCTGGTGTGGCATAAAATAGTCTGGAATACAACTCGCACGTACGGTCCACAACTAACACACATGTTCGAGTGTGTGCAACATTTCGCCCATGCTACACAACGAGAACGAACTTCTTTGCTAACTGAGCCAGTCTCACAAAGTTGTCAGATAACCATTTCTTCTACCAACATTTCGGAGCGTCTCGTAATCTTAAGAGCCGTTTGATCCAAACCCATGCTCCACAACAAGGACGAACGACTAACCATCTTGCATCAAAGAAGCACTGTCGCATGAGGTTTTCATATGAGAGTCTTTCCTCCAGAAAAGATCCGACTCGAACGACAACGAAAGCACAACGAGGGTAAACACTGTGATACACGTGTATCGGCTTTGGAATGAGTGCTACACTTCGTCTTAGCCAATCCTCTTGGAGTAGCTCAACTCCTTACATAGAGAAGGCAGAGGCGTACTATTTACACGTGCCGTCAAGTGAAAAAAATCTTTATTACGGCAGTGTTGTACACTCAGTTGCTCTTGGGTGTTACTTGCGATATAACATAACTTTCGTTTCGAATGCTCTCACAAGACTACGCTCAAATCTCAATAAATATCTTTTTTTTTGTACTGGGCTTTATAAGTTGCCCATAACAGACCACATGAATGGTTAAAAAATAAATATCAGATGCATTGGAATTTGCTCGTGGTTTTATTAAAACACTCTAAACGAACAGTATTATATTTCATAAATAAGCCAAAAGCGATCGAGAGTACAACGCTGCTGATCTAGTGATTTCTTTCACTTGACGGCACATGTAAGTAGTACGTCTGCTCCTTCTTTATGTAAGAGGTTCGGTTCTCCCCAAGAGGATTGGCGAAAGACGAACGGTACTGTCCAACTGACGTGGCTGTCAAGGCCGAAACACGTGTATTATGCTGTGAAAAAAATAATCACCAGATATACTAGCTTGAACTTTTCGCAATCGGTTTACCAACTCAAGTCGTTTTGAGCTATATTCTCATTTCGTTGTCGACGTGAACTTATAGTCAGTCTCATTCGTAAACAAGGCGGCTGTAGGAAGGAGAAATGTAAGATGTCGTCTGTGTTTGCATATCTTTCAATTCGGCCAATTTTCAATCGATCTGCATGATAATCGTCTCGAATTTCGTTGAAACCACTACATTTGAGGAGAATAATGACAGCTCTCTGTGTTTTTTACAGTTCTGTTAAGTGAACAAACTGCTGTATTGGAAGGAAAGTTCATTAGAGCATCAAGGAAATCTTAATCATCGCTTGATTTCTAATATGTCACTTTTCATTAGTTTGACAAATAAATTTTAACACCTACATTGATAATTTTTAGAAATCTCTTTCAGTAAAAGCAGGTATCTGACATAATTTCATGGCAAAAATCGTCCTAGCTCCTCACACCAAAGTCAGCAATAGCGGTATCCTTCCGATTAACGAATCCTACTTGTATAATTTCGTCTGAGTTTGCCGACCAATGAGGCAAATCAGCATAACTTCGTTCTTCTCTTCTACGATCATGAATCTCTATGGAAAGTCCGGCAAAATCTTTCTCCAGCGAAACTCATAAGCGCGTAGAGCTGTCATAGCCTTATACTTGAATGTATTGGGTTTTAAACTACGTGGATATTGAATACAAAGCGTGGTGCAAAAATTTTTGAGAAGGGATGCACTGAGAGAGTAACACTTTTGTTTGTGGAAGCTGAAACCCAGCATATTTAGGTCTTTTAGTGGTATTCTTGGAAAGGAAGAAAGAAGGAAGAAAAATCGTAATCAAATGACGAAAATCGCGCTCCTCTTTGCAATTCGCTTCGAACGCAGCGATTTCTATTGCCGTCTCGAATAGGTTGAAATAGAGGACGTATATAACCTATGCCGTCACTATTTTACAGTAACTAACTCGTCTACCCTTATCAAGAAGAGATCATTTCAATGTCATAAGTGGTGAGCTATCTGCGGCCTCTGTGATTGCACCCTTCCAGTACCATTGCATTCCTCCACTCATTGTCTCTATAATATATGAATATAAAACTAAAACATATGTGTTTGTTTGTTGCAAATCCGCCTTGCAAGCGCTTCTTCATGCCAGAGTGGTGTGACGTCCTATTATCAGAAACTGCACAAAACTCACATGTCAAGTGACTAATGTGAACCCGCTTATCATACACCGCGACTTTCCCGGGATCTATATAGCAGTGAGAGTATAATTTTATTAGATGGGAAATAAAGTTCTTGGCCATTTCTACAAAACTGCAAATTCAATGGCGTAATAAAACACGTACTTCAACTTTATCGTTAAATGGCGGAGGATTTTAACTAAATAAAAATATGGACGCATAATGTCTGGGCCTTCATTCGGAAAGTCCCGCAAAAGAAACTGTAGTATTATCATGATATATATGGTAGCTATCTCATGCATATTAGAGAGCCCCAGAACTTTCTTTCCAATCCTTTTTTGTGAAGTTTTTCTTTGTTATTTCAGTAACATAATCTTTGTCGTTTTATAGTTGAGTATTATACTATAAATAAGCAGAGTGTACGAGCAATCCTCCAGAGTTGAGAAAACCTGCAAAAAATTAACTATACAACAAGTCAAAGCTCTCACATATAACAGAGATAGAACCAAAAATGAAAGGCTGTACATTAGTCTACATCACTGGGTAAACCCTAATTTTTTTTTGAATTCATGAACTTTTTTCTATGTTGCAGGCAGTAATTCGAGCATGGAAGTAATTTGACAAGTGAGATATCTTCTATCACAGCATACTTTTGCTAGTGTACCATAAGTGTCTACAGTAATCGCTGATGGGAAATT